TGACAACCATTATGTCAGACTACACAGAGAAGCCACGGAAATCCACATGAACAATTTCAACAGACAGGAGGAAACCATGAAAATGAACAAAATCTGGTTACCAGTATTAAAAAACACCAGAATCAAAACAGCAAACAAAAAATACCACTCAGAAACAGGGGAATTCCAGACAGCAAACACTCAAGTGCCAGTTAACATCCCCCAAAGAGGGTGCCTTCAGGGTTACCTTCAGCAGGGTTACCTTTGGCAAGGTGGCCTTCAGGGTTCCTTCAGCAAGGCTACCTCTATGCAGATACCCTCACTGATTGACTTTGCAGTTTCATGGCTACTCAATTCCAATCAAGCTTGCTAATGGAAACATTCACACTTGCTTCAAACAGACAAGGGTACTTTCCAAAAACATAACATAACATAATCATAAACTATGATTATGTCATGTTTTTATTATTTTTATTTGATGATTTTAATTGTGTCTTTGTTTTATCTGCAATGTTTGGGCTTCTCCCTTTGTAAGCTGCCCCAAGTCCCTTAGGGAAGATGGTGGTGGAGCATAAAATAATAATAATAATAATAATAATAATTATTATTATTATTATTATTATTATTATTATTATTTTCTCCCACCCTGGACATTCCATAGATAGATAGATAGATAGATAGATAGATAGATAGATAGATATAGATATACACACATACTCTACTTGCTTCAATGCCAATAGAACCTCTGAAGATGCCAGGCACAGATACAGGTGAAACATCAGGAGAGAATGCTACTGGAACATGGCCATAGAGCCCCAAAAACTCACAGCAACCCAGTGATTCCAGCCATGAAAGCCTTTGACAACACATTAAACGCTATGTGTTTGGAAAATCAGTAGAACAAATAAAAATATAACACAACTGGACAAATGAATGAGGATGTCTGCATTAGAAAATGATGTAATTGAAACAAGTATTTTAACATATCATAGATTTGTCACCTACTAAGCTTTTTCAAAATATGCTTATGTAAGTCATGGCGACTGGCTGATTGACTGGAGAGTGTCAGTTTCAATTTTTTAAAAGGCAGCTCTCTTTGGATAACTAACTACCGTTGTCTTTAAACATACACAGTTTCAATTACCCAAGATAGTTTAGGCTCTCTGATTCAAGAGCATGTCAGCTGGCAGAAAGAGAGCCTAATTTTACAATTGGACAGCTGACAGATCTTTAGGCAAGGGAAGCAAAAAGTTAAGCCAAGCAGCATCAACAACAAAATGTGGAATATGCCAAGTTTAGAACAGAAAGGAAAGAACAGCATTTTCTTGGTACAGTACTTACATTACTCAGGTTATCAAGGACTCCCTTAAGATCTAAGTTGTAAACAAAGATATTACCTCTAGAAAGGATGCATGCCATGTTATTTAGTGTTTTATTACTCAAGCTGCCTGAGCTGGATGATATTTCTCCTACTTTTTATAGGTGTATCCCTGGGTCCCTAAATCACTAAAAATGAGACAATAGCCTCTAGTTTTATTCAACTATCCTCAGAGATAAACACACATAATTACCAAGGTCAAAAGACATGACAAATCAGAACCAGAGAGATGACAATGCTGATTCAGCTTGTACTCGGTGGACGCCTGGTGTATAGTCACATTAGATGCTGTGCCAAACTGCTAATAAAATTAAGCTATTTGGAGAGACCTTGTTTTGAACACATTTCCACCTACAGTCATGAGGCTTGGAAAAACCACTTCCCCAGCATTCAAGGAGAATGAAACCCCTGCTCCGAATGAACAAGCTGAATTTTACAGACACCTAAGTTCAACAGTGCTCTTCAGTAGAACACATACTGTAAAAGATTCAAAAATTTTAGTGCATAAATGACAATGATTGCTGTCCATAGGATAGCTATGGCTCATTACAGTTTGTTGTTCATATGTGCCTTCATGTTGATTCCAACTTATGGCACCCCCACCCCTTTTTAGAGTTTTCTTGGCAACATGTAGTCAGACATTTGCCCTTGCCATTCTTTTGTGTAACTTGATCAAGGTCAAGGTTTTCAAGGTTGAATAGGGATCCAGTGGGGAGAAAAAAGAATATATTTGGTGTACAAATCTGGAGTACCTGAAGGGCCTAGAAACAGTCACACATAGACATGCTGAATGCTCATAAACACACTATATATGATGAGCCCCCTGCTGGTGCAGCAGGTTAAACCACTGAGCTGCTGAACTTGCTGACTGAAAGATCAGCGATTTGAATCCGGGGAGTGGGGTGAGCTCTCGCTGTTAGGCCCAGCTTCTGCCAACCTAGCAGTTCAAAAGCATGCAAATGTGAGTATAGGTACAACTTCTGCAGGAAGGTAATGGCGCTCCATACAGTTATACTGGCTACATGACCTTGGGGGTGTCAACGGACAATGCCGGCTCTTCGGCTTAGATATGGACATAAGCACCACCCCCAGAATTGAACATAACTTTTACCTTTACCTTATATGATGCATCAAGTCCATACATCATATTACCCTCTCTCCCAGAAATACCAGAATTGGTTTGTTACATACCTGAGGATTAAAAAGTCCATACCTTTCAGGAAACAAATTAACACCTTTACTTACTTATATATTTATTTCCCTTCCTTTCTCCTATTATTGGGATGGTCCATGAAATATTTTATTTGGAATGATCACAGTTATAATTTAAATTGTGCACTACAAATATTTGCTAAGGGTTGCTTTCCTTCCTTTTCTTTTCTTTGGCCGTTGTTGCAAGTGTGTGTCTCCCTTCATTATATAAAGAGGTACTTGAACAAGATGAATTTTGTTATGAAATGAGAGTGCACATAAGACTCTACCTTTATATTCCAGAAACTTACATTCAAATTCCCACATAGACAGCAAATCTAACCCTACTTACTTAAACAAGTCCCTGAAATCACTTACTTGTGAATACAGTTGAGGATTGAGACTGCAAATTTCCACTTTCCTTCACTAAAAACATCCACTTTGCTTAGTCTAAGACTAATGCCAAACTCAACGGAAAATGCTGACTCCTGAACTATCAGATGTGATTTGAGCCTTAAAGATTAATTTATTTATTGTGCCATTAATTTTGGTAACAAACGCAGTTTGCCTGATATATTAAGTACAGAAAGAAGGTAGGAGTCTTTGTTCTGCTCACAGCTTAAAGCATAGTGGAAGCAATGCAAAATAATCACTTGGGAACTCAAGATACTGGTAGAAAAGGAGAACGTAGCCCAAAATAAACTACTCATTTTTATCTATCTAGTGAGCTGTCATCAAAATCATATTGTGTGTGCGTTGTGTGCCTTCAGGTTGCTTCTGTATTACAACAAGAAAACAAACCTATTACAGATTTTCTTGGCAAAATGTGTTCAGAGGGGGGTTGGCCTTTGTTTCCTCTAAGGCTGAATGTGACTTGCCCAATGCTACTTAGTGAAGTTTCCACGGACAAAAAGGGATTTGAACCCTAGTCTCCAGAGTTATAGTCCAAAGCCCAAGTTCCATCAAAATCATACTACTTCCAAAAAGTCAGCCAAGGGAGATATGGCACTTTAAATACTTAACAGATTAATTACAGTGTAAGTTTCATGGCACCAAATCCTGAAGTTCTTTTTGATTTTGGATGTAAGCAGTGTCAGTGCTGGCTAATACTCAGGTAGGAGGCTGCCAATGAATACCACTTGCCATAGGCTACATTTCAGAGGAATGCACTGACAATACATAAATGAGCCATCCTTCCCTAAGAAAACGTATGCTATAAGTCAAGGTACATACATACGCATACAAGCATTGACAAGTTTCATGGACTGAAGTTTCCTGTACTTCATCAAATGCTTGACACAGAAATTTCACATGACAGAGAATAGCTGCAGATAGTGAGGCCAAATAGCAAGAACATGCAAAAAGTACTGCCTAGGTGTAGTGATTTTAGTACTGAACTATAGCTCTGGAGACCAGGGCTTGAATCCCCTCTTGGCCATTGAGATCTACTGTGTGTCTCTACACAACCACACTCCCTCCATCTCATAGGAAGGCAACAAGAAAACCTCTAAACCAGTGGTGCTCAACCTTTTTATCCACCAGGGACCACTTTGACCAGGGACCACTCTCCAACCTAGAACCCAAAGGGTTACAAGTAAGTTTTTGGTCAACTTTAGATTTGGATTGGTTATTTGAGGTGCTGATTCAGAAAATTGCATTGGATAGACCACATCAGCTCTAGTTTCTGATACAGAACATATGCCATCCAGTAGTCACCATCTCCTCACTCACAGAAGAGGGTTTCGTGAGACCAGTCGCTCTCGTGCAGTGTGGTATCAAGGCAACTGTGTACTAACGGTGAGGCTGCGTACAATATTTTTGTTCTTGCGGACCACTGGTGGTCCGCAGACCACAGGTTGGGAACCACTGCTCTGAACAAGGAAAACCCTGTGATAGGTTTGCCTTAGGTTTGCCGTTAGTTGAAGGCACATAACAACAACAGCAACCTGTGTGAAGCTAAAGTTAAGTTGAAGCTTCATAGAACAATCTACTTTCCACAACAGCAACAACACTATCATTCTAGTATTGCTTAAATGCATATTGTGGTTCCTCCTGACTCATAAAAGCAGCTCTAGTAGCCTTATTTGTCCCATTCAGAGGAAGTAACTCAAGAAAACAAACCACAATCATTGTAGTACACAATAGTTTGAGAAGTCTACAAGCTGTAATCCAAAACACTAACCTTCCCAGATTCTGAGGTTCACTCATTCAGGCTCCAGAACACCTGTATGGCAGGCATGGACAAACTGTTATTTGTAACTGTCCTTTCAAAAAATGCTTTGCTGCAGTAGTAACAGTAACTTGTTTCTGCTCTACCCAAACCATCAACTTTGGTTCTCTCTCCAGTCCAATCCTCAGTTCAGAACAGAAGTACTTTTCTGTCAGTGCCAGATAGGAAAGGGCACCGGCATGGATGCCAAAGGAATCGTGCAGGTAAAGAGGCAATTATTACCTGAATGAAGCCCCATATGGGGTGAAGGGTCCAGTGCAGCAATAGTGAAGGCCAACAGCACTGAAGGAGCAGAAGGACTTCTCTGATGAGCATCACTCCTCTGGGGAAGAGGGGGACGTCTTCGCCTGGCAGCCTGTGGAACTGGAGGGAATCAGAAAGGCAGAGCTTGGGCAAGGCTGGGTGGCATCACAAGGAAAAAGAGGCTTCCTTTGCCCGCTCCCTTCTCTTCCCAAGAGTTGCAAGCATCAAAGAGATCTGCTGGAAGGAGTGGAGGAAGAGGAGGGCTAAAAAGGGCACTAAAGGAGGAGGAGGAGAGAAAGCAAGCCAGCAGGGAAAAGGGTGTTCGGAGTCAGGAATGAAATCCAAGCACTCCAAGGGATGTTGGTTGAATAGATGATGGGTGGGAAGGGGTGGAGAAAGCAGGAGGTGCCCCAAGCAATGGGAGGAGGCTCTTGGGCTGCAGTGGGAGAAGCCCAGTAGCAGAAGGGGGGCCAAAGGAAACTTCCTACTGGATCTACACAATCGCCACCTCCCTCTCTCACCTATGGAGAGGCCCTATAGCTCAGCCAACTCCTCCTCAACCCTAAATAAAACTAGAAGCCAAATGGCAAAGGCTCCTTCTCTCCACCCAGGACTGGTGGTGACTGGCGAACCATCGGGAAGAGAGGGAAGGAAAGAGAGACGGTGGGAAGGGAGAGAGGGAGGGCTGGTGCTGCAGAGCCGAGCAAAACCAAGTTTACTGCTCTCGCTGGTGATGCAGCCGCTGCAGTTTGGGAGGCAAATCAAAATGTGTTGTCAAAAGCTTTCATGGCCAGAATCATTGGGTTGCTTTGAGTTTTCCGGACTGAATGGCCATGTTCCAGAAACATTCTCTCCTGACATTTCACCCACATCTATGGCAGATATCCTCAGAGGTTGGGAGGTCTGTTGGAAACAAGGCAAGTGGGGTTTATATATCTTTGGAATGTCCAGGTGGGAGAAAGAACTCTCGCCTGTTTGACGCAGGTGTGATGCTGCAATTGATCACCTATTTCATCACACTAGAGAATGAATCCTCTTTAAGTCCAGTTTCTGCCTCCTCCCCTTTAAATCCAGCTGCTGCCTCCTGCAGAATTCTGAAGTTTGTAGTTTAGAGAGGAGGCCTAATAGTCTCACTAAACTACAAACCCCAGAATTCTGTAGGAAGCAGAAACCAGATGTAAAGCGGATTTATTGTCTAGTGTGATAGATGCAGGCAAAACATCAGGAGAGAATGATTCTGGAACATGGCCATACAGCCCAGAAAACTCACAGCAACCCAGCAAATCAAATGTTCCAAAGTCTTAGCTTACCCTGAGGAATTGAAAACGCAGCTGCCTTTTCTTTACATGCCGGTGTGCAGCGACAAGGGTCTGGTTGAAAGCCTGACAATAAAAAGTTTGCTGTGGCGCGTGTTTCCCTCCCATGGCTCCTCCTTGAAGAGAACCCAGGGAAGGAAGGAAGGAAGGAAGGAAAGAAGGAAGGAAGGGGAGAAAGAAAGGAGGAAAGCCCTCTCTTGGGAGAGAAGAGTTTCCCCCTCAGCTCTGCTCTCCTCCCCTGGACCAAAAATAGAAGGGAAGGGAAGAAGAAGCCTCTTCTGGGTTGTTGTAGGTTTTTGGGCTGTATGGCCATGTTCTAGAAGCATTGTCTTCTGATGTTTCACCTGCATCTGTGGCACACATCCTCAGAGGTAGTGAGGTCTGTTGGAAACTAGGAAAATTGGGTTCATATATCGGTGGGAAATCCAGGGTGGGAGAAAGAACTCTTGGGTTGTTGTAGGTTTTTCAGGCTATATGGCCATTCTAGAAGCATTCTCTCCTGATGTTTCGCCTGCATCTATGGCAAGCATCCTCAGAGGTTGTGAGGCCTCACAACCTCTGAGGATGCTTCCCATAGATGCTGGCTTCTATGGCTTCTTACAACAACTCAGTGATTCCAGCCATGAAAGCCTTCGACAATACAAAGAACTCTTGCCTGACAGTTTTGAGGGGTTGCTTGCTACAGCCTGGGGGAATCCTTTGTTGAAAGGTGATACAGGCTGAAAAACCTACAACAACCCAGTGATTGCGGCCATGAAAGCCTTCGACAATATAAAAAACTCTTGCCTGACAGTTTTGAGGTGTCACTTGCTACTGCCTGGGGGAATCCTTTGTTGAGCGATGATACAGCCCGAAAAACCTACAGCAACTCAGCGATTCCAGCCATGAAAGCCTTGGACAATACAAAAAGCTCTTGCCTGATAGTTTTGAGGGGTCGCTTGCTACTGCCTGGGGGTATCCTTCTTTTGAGAGGTTATACAGCCCGAAAAACCTACAACAACCCAGTGATTCCAGCCATGAAAGCTTTCGACAATACAAAAAACTCTTGCCTGATAGTTTTGAGGGGTCGCTTGCTACTGCCTGGGGGTATCCTTTTGTTGAGAGGTTATACAGCCCGAAAAACCTACAACAACCCAGTGATTCCAGCCATGAAAGCTTTCGACAATACAAAAAACTCTTGCCTGATAGTTTTGAGGGGTCGCTTGCTACTGCCTGGGGGAATCCTTTTGTTGAGAGGTGATACAGCCCGAAAAACCTACAACAACCCAGTGATTCCAGCCATGAAAGCTTTCGACAATACAAAAAACTCTTGCCTGATAGTTTTGAGGGGTCACTTGCTACTGCCTGGGGGAATCCTTTTGTTGAGAGGTGATACAGCCCGAAAAACCTACAACAACCCAGTGATTCCAGCCATGAAAGCTTTCGACAATACAAAAAACTCTTGCCTGATACTTTTGAGGGGTCACTTGCTACTGCCTGGGGGAATCCTTTTGTTGAGAGGTGATACAGCCCGAAAAACCTACAACAACCCAGTGATTCCAGCCATGAAAGCTTTCGACAATACAAAAAACTCTTGCCTGATAGTTTTGAGGGGTCACTTGCTACTGCCTGGGGGAATCCTTTTGTTGAGAGGTGATACAGCCCGAAAAACCTACAACAACCCAGTGATTCCAGCCATGAAAGCTTTCGACAATACAAAAAACTCTTGCCTGATAGTTTTGAGGGGTCGCTTGCTACTGCCTGGGGGAATCCTTTTGTTGAGAGGTGATACAGCCCGAAAAACCTACAACACCCCAGTGATTCCGGCCATGAAAGCCTCCGAGTATACATAGAAGCCTCTTCCTCCGGAGAGGAGAGAGATTGAAGGAGGAAAGGGAGCAAGAGTGGGGAGGGAAAGGGGCCACTCTCCTCCAGCGCCGGGGGACAGGTAGGGCGCAACGCCGAGCAGAGACACCCACCAGGGGAAGGGGATGCTGAGGGAAGCCCTTTCCCTTCGGATGGGGAAGAGGTCGAGCGGTGGCTCTCCAGCCGTTTTGCAACTCACTCGGACCGTGGGCTCCCGGCAGAGTTGTTTCAGCAGCAGCCGCCCCTCCGATGTCCCTCCTCTCCTCTCTCTCTCTCTCTCTGCGGAGCCTCCAAGCAGCGGAAAGGTGGTGCAAGGTGCAGGACCGGAAGCGACACCGGGGAGAGAGATCGGATTGATGCAAGCAGCAGTGAGGCCAGGGAGGGGGCTAGGCCTATGGTAGGTATGCAGGGGGGGTGGCACTAACGAAGACTGATCAGTTTTGAGTGTTGGGACTAGCTCCGATGTCCCTCCTCTCCTCTCTCTCTCTCTCTCTGCGGAGCCTCCAAGCAGCCGCGTCGCGAGAGGAAAAGCAACACAACTCCCCGGGCAGAGAGAGAAAGAGGGAGGGATTGAGGAGGAGGAGAAGGAAGAAGAGAAAGAGGAGGAGGGCGGTAGTAGTGCCAGGGCGGCCAGAGGGGAGCAGAAGGACCAGGGAGGAGGAGGAGGAGGAGGAGGAGGAGGCGGGGAGTGGGAGACCAGCTCGGCTCACCCGCGAGTGGAAGCGCTCGCCTTGCTGCTTCTCCGTGCCGCAGGGATTTCTCATGCCCGTGGAGCCGGCCGTGGGCTCGGCGCTGGGCTCTGGCGACGCGCATCCCTCCAACTCCCACGCCAGGCTCCGTGGATGGGATTTTATGGCGGGTGGGCGAGAAGGAGGAGGCGGGAAGCGCTCTCAGATGGGAAAGTGAAGCATCTCCCCCACGCCGCTTCTGCGCCGAGGCTGCCGCTCTCCCTCCTTGGTCGGGCTAAGCAATCAGCGTTTCTCAACCTGGGCGTTGGACCCCGGGGGAGGGGGGGGGTTTGCCAAAAACCATCAGAAAACATAGTATTTTCTTTTGGTTGTGGGGTTCTGTGTTGGAAGTTTGGTGGGGCGCGGAATGCTCTTTGACTGTAGGTGAACTATAAATCCCAACAACCACAACTCCCAAATGTTAAGGTCTATTTTCCCCAAACTCCACCAGTGTTTACATCTGGGCATATTGAATATTCGAGCCAAATTTGGTCCAAATCCTTCATTGTTTGAGTCCACAGTGCTCTCTGTATGTAGGTGAACTACAACTCCAACACTCAAGGTCAATGCCCGCCAAACCCTTCCAGTATTTTCTGTTGGTTATAGGGATTCTACTCTGGTTGTATATGAACTATAAATCCCAGCAACTACAACTCCCAAATGTCAAGGTCTATTTTCCCCAGACTCCATCAGTGTTCACATTTGGTCATATTGTGTATTCGTGCCAAGTTTGGTCCATATCCATCATAGTCTGAGTCCACAGTGCTGTCTGGGGGTAGGTGAACTACAACTCCAACACGCAAGGTCAATGCCCACTAAACCCTTCCAGTATTTTCTGTTGTTTGTGGGGGTTCTGTGTGGGAAGTTTGGCCCAATTGTTTCATTGGTGGAGTTCAGAATGCTCTTTGATTGTAGGTTAACTATAAATCCCAGCGACTGCAACTCCTAAATGGCAAAATCAATCCCTCCCCCCAACCACACCAGTCTTCAAATTTGGAAGTATTGGGTATTTGTGCCAAATTTGGTCCAATGAATCAAAATACATCCTGCATATTGGATATTAATATTACAATTCATAACAGTAGCAAAATTACAGTTATGAAGTAGCAACGAAAATAACTTTGTGGCTGGGGGTCAACAGAACATGAGGAACTGGATTAAGGGGTCACGGCATTAGGATGGTTGAGGAACACTGGGCTAGTTATTCATCTGGCCTTCAGATCCATTCTGGTATCTCCAGGACTCGCATATAGAAGTGTTTCAGCACTCCAAGGCAAGGGTATGGTTCAAGGGTTGGGCTGGTCCTGGTTCAAGAGCCCCCAATGAAAAGGTCCTCTGATAATCTAAGTGTATGGAGCAGATTTTAGGGAGAAGACCATCCTCCTGTAGAGCAGGCATGGGCCAAATTGGGCCCTCCAGGTGTTTCGGACTTCAACTCCCACCAACTCTAACAGCCTCAGGCCCTTTCCTTTTCCCTTTCCTGCTTAAGTGCCTGAGGGGGGAAAGGAAAGGTCCCGAGGCTGTTAGGAATGGTGGGAGTTGAAATCCAAAACACCTGGAGGGTCCAAGTGGGCCCATGCCTGGTGTTGAGCTTTAAAGGTCACAACCAATTCCTTGCCCAGAAACTGACTCACAACCAGTGCAATTATTTTAGTATAGGTGTAATATTATCACTCCTAGATAACCATAACCATCCTGAATCCCATGTTTTGTACTAACTGGGGTTTCCAAATTTGGTACAGAGGTAGCCCAAAATACATCACGTGGCAAAAAGTCCAACCATATCAGTACCATCTATATACCAAATATACTTGAGTATAAACCAACCCAAATATAAGCCAAGGTGCCTAATTTTACCACAAAAATCTGGGGAAACATATTGACTCGAGTTTAAGCTGAGGGTGGGAAATCCAGCAGCTACTGGTAAAATTCAAAATAAAAATAGATACCAATAAAATTACATTAATGGAGGCATCAATAGGTTAAATGTGATTGAATATTTACATAAAACTGTAATTTAAGGTAAGACTGTGCAACTCTAATAATAATAGAGTAAAATTATAAATGTAATAACAACAGTAATAATAGGGTAAAATTATAAATGTAATAACAACAACAATAATAGAGTAAAATAATGAATGTAATAATAAAAATAGAGTAAAATAATGTAACATAATAATATTAGAGTAAAATAATAAATGTAATAATAATAATAATAATAATAATAGAGTAAAATAATACATGTAATAAAACAATAATAAATAGTAATGGATGTAATAAAAATAATAGAGTAAATGATGTAAATGTAGTAATAATATTAAATAGAGTATAATAATAACTATAACAACAACAACAACAACAGAGTAAAATAATAAATAATCTTGATTCAAATATAAGCCGAGTGGGGCTTTTTTAGCCTTAAAAAATGGCTGAAAATCTTGTCTTATACTCAAGTATATACGGTAATCTCTCAGTTCCAGGAAGATGTGCAGCTGGCGTATCCGCCAAATGGAATTATGGTGAATGCATGGTGGGGATGGCTTTATTTTATTGCAGTAGCAAATTACCAGAATAGATGAACAGGACATAAGCATTGCCTTGCTGGAATAGGCTGAAGTCCAACTAGTCTAAGCTTCTGCCTCCAACAGCAGACAGCTGCTAGCCTTGAAGTGTTTGCAATTAAGGCATGAATATAACATGGCATTTGTCCCCTGCATTTGCTATTCAGGAAGGTTCTATTTTCCTATCCTAGCTGAGGGATATGTGTAGCATGTTTCTGTCTAAACCGTTTTCCCACCACCACTTGGTCACATTTCTTATTGCAGCACTGGATTTGATTGAGGTGTATCTCTGTGAATGCACACACTGCAAGACCAAAAGAGACATCTGATAGGATGGTGTTCTTCTAGACAATTAATAAGGGAATGGAGAAAGATTACAGTCAGATATTTAATACCTGGAGGGATGCCGTATAGGAGGTGGAGCAAGCTTGTTTTCGGCTACTCCAGAACGCCTATAGGTTCAAATTACAAGAAAAGTGATTCCACCTAAACATTTTGAAGAACTTGTTTACTATAAGATTTGAAAGACAGTGGAGTGAGCTGCATCAAAGGATGGTGAACTCTCTATCTCCGAAGATCTTTAAATAGACATCTGTAAGGGCATTTTCTAAATTGTGGCAAGTTCTTGGTGGTATGGGGATCCCAAGTCTCCTTGTCTGTCTCCAGAGGAATCTGTATAACGACCAAGTAGCAACAGTAAGAACAGGCCATGGAACAACAGACTGGTTCAGGATTGGGAAAGGAGTATGGCAGGGCTGTATATGCTCACTCTACCTATTCAACTTGTATGCAGAATATATCATGCATACAAAACTAAACATAGAAGTCACTGTCATAACCATCCATGTGTACAATTTCAGGTTTTGGAGTATAGCATGACTCCTGTATTGATGGGGGATATGTACCCGGATGTTGTGTGGATATGCGAAACTCTGGGTAGTATTGGACCTTTATAAAAAATAATAAAACTTTCTTTGTATACTGCTCTATCTCCCTGAGGGGGAGATTCAGGATGGTTTCCAACATAGGGCAAAGCATTCAATTACCAACACAAAATCATGTAAAATGACCATTATAACACATAAACATAATAAACACAACATCCGGGTACATATCCAGTTCCAGTATTATTGAAATAAAGGATGTCTTCATTAATAATATGATAGGCTCATGCTGGAATACTTAGGGAATGCCCAAAGAGAACATATTTTGTCAGATGTAAATAAATGAAACTAGATAACAGTCCTGCATATAGGGAGGTTGTGTTGTATTTTAGATTTCAAGGGATGTCCAATATTATTGTATGCAAATATTCATTTGGAGGTGTGGCTATACATTGCTACTCTGCTATTAGAGTAGCTGGGTTAAGAAACAGCAGAAATAGGGGAAATTGTGTTTTATGTAATTAATTGTATTTCAAAAAGGTATTCACAAAAATACCTTCTGTTGGAAATGATAATTTCTAGAGTGTTCAGTGTGTCTTGCACAGGATTGTTGATTTTCTGTATAGTTGCTTGTGCTTTGCCAAAACATTATCCCTGAAATATTTAGATAGAATAAAAAGACTATTTCAAGGTTTTAAAAAAATTCTGGAGAGAATGTATTTAATAAAGAGGTCAAAAGAAAGGAAACATTCACTTGAACTATTTGGATTTGTATGCTATTTAAATTTCAAACCATAAAAAAGAGGAGGGAATGGATTCTCAGACCGTGCTTGTCTCTGCACAGCCTTGGGCTAGAAATAAGTCACATCATGTGGCTTTTTGGCCTTGCAGCTGCTATTGCTAAATGCTTTGTCGAGGTATTAACTACAGTTTTTCTCTCCTCTGCCTTAGCTAGTTGATGTTTTATATTCATACATCCACACGAAGGTCCCTTTTGTCAATTTCTTTGCCCCACCCCAGCCATTCCACAGATATATAAACCCATTGTCCTAATTCCAACAGACCTCACTACCTCTGAGGATGCTTGCCATAGATGCAGGCGAAACGTCAGGAGAAATGCCTCTAGAACATGGCCCTATAGCCCGAAAAAACCCACAAGAACCTAGTGATTCCAGCCATGAAAGCCTTCAACAATACAATTTCTTCTTTGCAATCATTATTTATTTATCCAGTCTTTTATCTTTTATTTTATCCAGTCTTCATCAGAATTAGCTTGCCCAAAAAAAAAAAATCTCCCTCAGAATTTCTTCCAGCAACACTTCAGAGACAGAAAAAGTTTTGCTCCAGTGCAGTTGCATAAAATGATCAGGTGTCAGGGGGTAATTTTTAACTGGATTTGTTCTCTTACACCAGTGGTTCCCAACCTTTTTTTGACCAGGGATCACTTGAACAGGAACCACTTTCCAACATTAGTACCAAAAGAGTTATGATTCAGTTTTTGGTCAACTTTAGATTCAGTTTGGTTATTTGGTGTGATGATTCAGAAAATTGCATTGGATAAATCACATTTTATTTACTTCATTTCAACTTTGCCTTTCTCACCCAAAGGGACTCAAGGCGGCTCTAGTTTCTGAACATATGTCATCCAGTAGTCACCATCTGCTCACCTACAGAAAACCATATTTATTAATCTAGAGTTGATGTGGTAGAAGTAATCTTTTGTGGGTAGCAACCCTCTCCCCTCCCGATATGCCTGTTGCCTTGGCA